AATTTATTTATGCAACAATTTGACATCAAAGATGGTCCAACTTCCCATCGACTTAGAATTTGGAATGAAAGATTTTTAACTTTACATATCGGTAGCAAAATGCCTTCAGCCATCTCAACGTCTAGGCAAATAAGTTTAGTGTGAGGAACAAATGCCAGTGAATTTGGTGTTAACTGAACTATGGTACAAATAGCCGTGAATTGTATACAACTAGAATGTAGTGCTTTTACTGAGAATATACAAAATAAGTTCTTAGGTTAGTGCAACAGGTTTTACAGGATTTTTCTCATAAATTTCTCTTATGCAAGAAAAGGATAGCTAAATTGTTTCAAAAGCCTAATCTATTTTAAGTTTTTATCTATTTTTATGTATTTATATTGCAAAATGATAGTTGTTGATTAATCGAAATGTTAATATCGTTATTATTTCAAAACGGTTAATTAAATAATTCTGGATACAATTTTCATACATTACATGGGTTTTGAACTGACACATGTCACATAAGAATACAAATGTGTTAATGCCCGAAGTAATAAATTAAAAGAATTGAATAATGTTAAGTGATAACCGATACTTGTATTTGCTAGATATTCATACGTAATAAATATTTTTAATTATTTCTTAACTTTGTAGTGTATTAGATAAGTGGTGTATGTTTGGATACATGCACTAAAATTTTTATATATTCAGATTGCAAACATTTTAAATTATCAATACACCTTTTAATATACAGAAAAAAATATAGTAAACACTAAATTTTTATTACATTCAATAAATAATAATGTTTTTTTTTTAATATGTTTAAATTTTAGTGCGTGTATCCGAATTGTAAATTCTGAATTCTCTTGTGGCACTACATCTACGCACAATGGATAAACATCGTAAATAAAACTTTGTAATACATTATTCCTATTTTAAAGCTGCAATTACAAAGAGTAATATTGAAAAAACAACCAAAATTAACATCGAATGTTTCAACCCATAAGAAATATGTTTCTAATGAAATGGTAAGGATTTTTTTAATTGCAGCTTTAAAGTTGATATTCGAAAAAAAACGCCAATTGTTAGAATTAAGTAAGAAATTATATTAGATAAGTGTAGAGTAGACTTAATGTGGGTTTTATGGTGACGACTGGTCGACGTAGCGTTTGCACACTCGGCGAATACATTCATTATTTACAAGATTTTATAACTAAAGTCCATTTGACATTAAATATAAAAGACTTTTCTAATATTTGTTTATTTTTTAATTATTAACCCTTTGCTAGACTAAATTAACTGTGAGGAAATAATATACTGTCAAAATTTCCGTTAAAAATTGTGCTACCAAAAGGTTTTGATTTTTTTTTTTAAAGCCGAGTGTGAGCCGCAGTGTCAGTGCGCCACGCGATACGTCCAAGTGTTAACCTCATGTGCAATTCTTCTCATTTCCATATCGATCCTTAGTTATTTAGTTTCTCTGTTGTAAATATTAATTTAATGTTGATTTAAATATGAAATTTATTACGTCTACGTGATTATTGTTCGTTCTTTACATTTTTTATACATTTGTAGGAGTTTCGTTGTTGTACAGTTGTGTAAATACGCGCTAGATGTTTGTTAACAATACTTTCTGTTGGGTCAGTTTCTAATTTCATTTTAAAGACCAACAATCAATGTAGTTTACGAAATATCTTAGATTTTTATAGTATTTTAATGATTAATGATCGTTTTTCCATATTCGATTAGTTTCCGTCGCAGCGGCATAAGTGAAACGAAGGAATTTCATTTGAATTGTCCAATAATATGGTATTTTATCGTAAGTTGTTGATTTGTATGAACTGTGTCGACTTAGTTTTTAGCGAACGCGTCGGCGAATCTTTTAATATTGTGAATCTGTCGAGTCTTTTAAAAGTATTTATATGAAAAAAATGAATAATAAATAATTAATATTTGTGACTCAACTCGTGTTTTATTTCCTTTTTTTACACGAAACTGTCAGTTACATTGATGGTTCGAAGAAATAAGCAATGCAACAGGTTGATTATTTTAAATTCTTACATCTACACCAATGTAATAAAGCGCAAATTCACTTCTTTGTTATGTAGGATGTCAGCAAAACAATCCCAGTACATTGTTGAATAACATTTTTTTAAATAAAAAAGAAACATACGATACGCTTTGGGCTATATATTTCCACACTAGTAAACTTAGGGGGTAAATAACTTGTAATAAAAAGCCGCCATGCGGGAAACAAACTACAAACCAATAGTAGCAAAGAAGCAAGATTGCTGAGGTAACGGTAATTGTTATCCAATGTCAAAGGCCTTGATTGTCATTTGTGCATTTGAATTTTGACGTTTGCAAATGTAATTAATAAAATTATATCCTTATAATTTCCCGCGGATAAAGCCGCACGGGGACAGGTATTATAAAAATAAAACAAATTATGTTAAACAAAGATTTAATAAATATACCAATTACATGTCACTTATGATATTAACTGCTGCACACATTTCTACTTCCAGTTCGATTATGTTCTGTTGTCGATCTTTATTTAGAGAAATGGGTTAGACAGAGAAAGCAGTGCAGTCAGCCGCGGCGCCAGATGATGACGAGTCCGGAGACGTCGCTGCTGGCCAGCAGGCTCTCGTCGTAGCTGAAGCTGACGCCCAGCACCGCAGACGCGTGTCCTATTACCATATAAAACTAGGTTATAACACACACAAACTTTTTGAATGTCGAATTACTTGGTAGAATACAGATATATATTTAAAGTTACTATAATTAGAAGTACAGACAATAAAGCTTTCTCATAAACTTACTTTTTATCATGTATCCGACTCGAAGGACCAAAACTAAATTATGAGAAAATATAAGTTATACCCGCTACAGACAGAGGCTAAATTTTAACAGATTTGATAGTTACAATTCTACTTACACTACAGTTTTATCTAAACTGTTCAGAATAATGTCATTCATACTAGCTTTCGCCCGCAACTTCGTCCATGAGAAATTAAAAAAACAAAAATAATTATCCTATGTGTTCTTCCAGACTATCCCTCTACATTAATGCTAAATTTAATCCAGATCCGTTTACCAGCAGCATTTTAGGCTACAATTTCATCCGTCTAAACTTTCTCATTTATGTTATTAGTAAGATTAGTATATATTTGTTGTGTGACCTTGCAGCTTGTTGAGGACGGGCTGCCCGGCGTGGCCCTCGATGTCGAGGAAGTAGACGCAGGCGTCCTCTCCGCCGCTGACGACGCAGACGCCGCGCCGGAACGACATGATGGGGCAGAAGGTGGACCTCACGCCGTGTCTGCGATGCACCGTCTCGAAGCGCTTCTTCAGGCTCAGGCTGCCTTCGCGGTCTGTTATCCTGTGCAAACATACACTAATAGCTGTTGCTCGCGACTTCGCCCGCGACAAATTAAAAAATACATCTTATATTACTCCCTGGTAACGATGCTTTTTAATGTTGAAAGAAATCTGAAATCGGCCCACTAGTTTTTGAATTATTTCAATACATACAAATAAACAAATCTATCCAGTTTACATTATTAGTTGGATTACTGTATTTTTTAAATCCTTTAAATTCCTTTAGACATTAACTGTCCGAAATTTGGCACAAGTTTAACTTTCCAGTTAAATCTATGAGCAGATCCAAAACAAGCTGGAAAAATGCAAGACAAAGACGTCAAGGAGGCAAAAAGAAGAGAATAATTAAGAAGGCTGATTCTATCACGAAAATACAAGTTAAGCAGAGAGATAATTTTGCTTAGTAATTGCCGCTTGAATCTGATAGAAGTCAAAATTTTATTAGAGCCATATTATTTAAGACGCTAAGCAATATTTAACCGTAAGTGCCTCTAAAACTGTTTGGCAGTAAGGATCAATTTTCAGTGGCAAGTAATACCTGAATAGGTAGAGCGAGTTGTCCGCGGCGCTGACGAGCAGCGCGGGGTGGCGCGCCAGCCAGGGGCTCCAGCTGAGGCTGGTGACGGCGCCGCCCACGCTGCAGCGCCGCAGCTTGCTCAGCGCGCCCGCGCCCGACGTGCGGTAACTCACTATCACACCCTACACCCACACCTCACTTTACCTCACTTTACAATACAATCTCTATAATATTATATTTTTTTATATTATAAAGTAGCAAACGAGCAAGCCACGTGAAACCGTCGAAATAGCGAAGCGACCGCTACCCATAGATATCCGCAATTGCAGAAGCGCTGCCTACCCTTAATGGACGAAATAAACGCACATAAAGAGAATATTTCCCCTTCTTATGCGTCTCCTCCGCCGTCAAATCCACTTTTCCTTCCCATCATTTCCTCTCAAGAAAAAAGATGGAAAGGGAAAGAGACTACAATTGGGCCTCCAACACAACACTCATCAGACGAAATGCGGAATTGCTTCCACTTCACCCTTGTTTTCTGTGTGGTCGTGGTATTCCACCGGGCGCGCCGACCCTGCAGTGCGAAAATGTTAAAGCGGGCTCTACCACTTTTAAATGCGAAAGTTTAGATAGATGAATGTAAAGAGTTTGTAGCTTAAACTGCTGAACGGATCTCGATTAAATTTGGCATAGATAGTATAGTCTAGTAGAACACATAGGCTACTTATTTATGTCATTTTTTTAATTCCACGTGGACGATATCACGAACGAAAGCTAGGAGATGATAGTTTTGTATCTCATTTTTTTTAATATGACAGAAATCTTTTATTAGCATTTATAATGTCGAAATATTATCGAAAATAAAAAGTTAACAGTCGTTGCAATGCACCTTGTCGTTGGCAGCCCAGAACATTCTGCCGCTGGACTCACAAGCGATGGCCTGCACCTTGCCGCCCAAGATACTGCTACCACCTGATAATGTTTCATTGTAGTTATTGTTTATTTTAGCTTGAGCAAATTATCTGCTGCGATAGCTCCATACCCTGCACATTTATAACATTAACTCACCTCTGGGATATATCCCTGTCGATACATTTAGTACTTCCACCATTCCTCTTGCATTTCCCGCCTGATGCTCACGTTAAGGACTGCAGTACAATAGATGAATACGACATACAAATTTATTATTACCCAAAATAAAGTTAAGATAATATAACTATGGTGCAAAAACATTACTTTCGTAGGAGCACAACTTTACAACCGTCTTCTATTAAAAACGTGAGCTCATTTTATTTATTTGAACCTATATATTTGTATAATATAATATAATATATATTATATTGTAATTATCAAACTTAATATTATAAATGCGAAAGTTTAGATGGATGGATGTTTGTTAGAGTTTGTAGCCTAAACGGCTTAAGGGATTTCGATAAAATTTGGTATGGATGTAAAAGATAGTGTGGAAGAACACATGAGCTACTCACTTTTGTTTTTTTTTTATTCCACGCGGACGGAGTCGCGGTCGAAAGGTAGTATTTGTATA